AAATGAAAATCCAAAATAAAAATTACGAATAGAAATAAAATTATATTGAAATTAAATTTTAAACTACATTGAGAAATAAAATCACTATAAAATTAAGTTAGAAAATGGAAATAAAATAAAAATAAAATGAAATCAAACTTAAATGAGAATAAAAAAAGAAAAAGAAAATAAAAGAAAAAACAAATAAAAGAAAAATAAAATTAAATGAAACTAAAATAGGAATAAAAAAAGAAAAATAAAATAAAATAATGAATTAAAATGAAATAAAATAAAATATTAAAATAAAATAAAAATTTAATTAAAATAAAAGAGGAATAAAAAAAAAATAAAATAAAATCAGATAAAATAAAATAAAATAATAAAATAAAATTAAATAAAATGAAATAAAATAAAGTTAAATAAAATAAAATAAAATAAAATAAAATAAAATAAAATAAAGGAAAATAAAATCAAATAATAAATGAAAATAATATAAAATAATATATTAAAATAAAATAAAAGAAAAGAAATTAAAATAAAATAAAATAAAATAATAAAACGAAATAAAATAAAATAAAATAAAATAATAAAATAAATAATAAAATAAAATTAAATAAAATAAAATTAAATTAAATTAAAATTCTTCACCCCAAATCCTCATTCTTGGCCCCAAATCTCAGCTCTTTGCCCCAAATCTTGCTTCTTCACCCCAAATCTCAACCTTACACCCCAAATCTCAACTCCCGCCCCAAATCTTCGTTCTTGGCCCCAAATCCCCACTCCTGGTCCCAAATCTCAGCTCCTGGCCCCAAATCTGCACTCGTAGCCCCAAATCTCAGCCTGTGGCCCCAAATCTTCATTCCTGGCCCCAAATCTTTGTTCTTAGCCCCAAATCTTCGTTCTTGGCCCCAGATTTTTGTTCTGGGCCCCAAATCTCCACTCCCGGCCCCAAATCTCCACTCCCGGCCCCAAATCTTCATTCTGGTCCCCAAATCTTCGTTCTGGGCCCCAAATCTTCGTTCTGGGCCCCAAATCTTGCCTCTTGGCTCCAAATCCTCAATCTCGGCCCCAAATCTTCACTTCTGGCCCCAAATCCTCATTCTTGGCCCCAAATCTCAGCTCTTGGTCCCAAATCTCAGCTCCTGGACCCAAATCTTCATTCTTGGCCCCAAATCTCAACCTTTTGCCCCAAATCTCAGCTCCTGGCCCCAAACCTCAGTTCTTGGCTCCAAGGCTCAACCAAGGTCCACAAACCTGGGTGCAAATGGTCGAGATTTGGGGCAAACGGGCCAGATTTGGGTCCGTGGGGGTCAACAATGGGGTCAAGGGTTTGAGAAAAGGACCTGGGGAACGGGGATGGGGACGGGACCAAAATTAGAACCAGCAGCATGAGCCTCCCAACCCCAACCATCATAGGCGTTTTTGGCACAGAAATAGGATCCGGAATCCTCGTCCTTGAGGTTGTTCATGGTCAGCGTCACCAAGCTCTGCCCGTTGTCGCTGGAGATGCTGAACCGGCCCTTCACCGACGGCGCGTATCTGGGGGTGGAACCATCACCGTTGATCCCCGCGACGAATTCCAAACCCTGCCCGGGACTCTGACGAACCCAGCCCATCCCATCCCAAAACTGCTGAAACTGAACCCGGACCCTCGGCAGAGGAGGCGCAGGGACCCCCCGGGGGGCTGGAGGTCCCCCCCGCACTCCAGCAGGGTCACGGCCACCCAGAGCCCTGTGGGAAAATGGGGAGATGATGGAAATCATAAACCTGATTGGTTGAGGACCTCGAGGTGGGCATGACCATCTGGAAAAAAGGGTCAGGACCCACCTGGGAGGAGGATGATGAACTCCAAGGGTCCCAGTTTTGGGACAAGATTCAGGATTTGGGTCAAGGGTTGAGCTTTGGCCTCATCCCCATCTCCCCTTTGTCCCGCAGGGCTCCGGGCGGCCGTGACCCTGCTGGAGTGTGGGGGGGACCTCCAGCCCCCCCGGGGGGTCCCTGCGCCTCCTCTGCCGAGGGTCCGGGTTAAGTTTCAGAAAATTTGGGATGGGCTGGATGCGCCAGAGACCCAGGCAGGGACTGGAATGGCTCGTGGGGATCACCAACACTGGTGGCAGCACCAGCTACGCGCCATAGGTAAAGGGCCGGTTCAAGATCTCCAGGGACAACGGGCAGAGCTCGGTGACGCTGACCATGAACAACCTCAAGGACGAGGATTCCGGATGCTATTTCTGTGCCAGGGCTTTTTGTGCTGGTTGTTGGGCTGTTGCTAATCATGGTGACAATGCTGTTGATAGCGTTAAACTTCTAGATTTTGCTCCTGTCCTATCATTGCATCTCCACATCTTCGATTTTCATCCCAAACCTCACCTCTTGTCTCAGATCTTGACCCTTTGTCCCCATTTGCATCAATGGTCAGCACTGACCCCAAACCCTCGCCTGTTTCTGCCCCAAAACTCAACCACTGGCCCCAAACCTTCTCCCTGACCCTTTGTCCCAGCCCCGCCCCCTTTGCCCCAACGCTGCTTATTGGCCCCAAACCCTCCCCTGGGTCTGGCCCCAAACTCAACTCTCGGCCCCAAATCTCCCCCTCGTGCCCCAAAAGTGCCCCAAGGGTAGAGATTTAGGGGCAGCGGGTGAGGTTTGGGTCAGCGGCTGTGGCTGGGAGCCTAGAGTGGGGATTTGGGGCAGAATCGGGCGAGTTTTGCGGCCAACGCAGGACGGTTTGGGGCAGAACCAGTTTGGGGGTTTGGGGTCTTTGGTCAGCATTGGGGGAAATAGGGGAGACCTGGGAGAAGGTGCAAGAATGAGGTCAAGGGCTGAGATTTGGGTAAAGGTTCTGAGATTTGCGGACCAGAGGAGCTCAGGCACGGGCGCTGCCACCACCGGCAGGGTCAATGTAAGCAGCAGCAGCCCAAGCAGCACCAGCAGCTTTGGCACAGAAATAGGATCCGGAATCCTCGTCCTTGAGGCTGTTCATGGTCAGCGTCACCGAGCTCTGCCCGTTGTCCCTGGAGATCGTGTACCGGTCGTTGACCGACGGCGTGTAGATGGTGCTGGAACCATCGCTCCTGATCCACACGACAAATTCCAGCCCCTGCCCGGGTCCCTGGCGGATCCAGAACATGTCAGAGCTGCCGAAACTGAACCCGGACCCTCGGCAGAGGAGGCCCAGGGTCCCCCTGGGGGGCTGGAGGTCCCCCCGCACTCCAGCAGGGTCACGGCCGCCCAGAGCCCATCCCCAAATCTTCACCAATCGCACTCATAACTCCACTGATTAGGTCCCAAATCTCCATCACATTTTTCTGGTATCCTAAGGTTCCTCAAATCCTGCAAGTTAACTCCATATTCTCAGTAATTAATTGGACACATTGCCCTGAGTGTTCTACATTGATTTCAAAACTAATACCACCATTAACCATTCCCAACCTTGGCACATCCCGGCCACGGCCTTGAGCTCCCTCCGGCTCCTGGCCCTCCTGCTCCTGCTGCCCCTCCCAGGTGGGTCCCACAACTTTTTCCTGAAAGTCACGCCCCTTTTCCCCTTCTGGACCAATCAGGTTTCCCATCCCCATCTCCCCTTTGTCCCGCTGGGCTCCGGGCAGCCGTGACCCAGCTGGAGTGCGGGGGGGACCTCCAGCCACCCGGCGGGTCCCTGCGCTGTCTCTGCCGAGGGTCCGGGTTCCATTTCGGTCATTCTGATCTGCACTTGATGCACCAGAGCCCTGGGCAGGGGCTGCAGTGGGTGGCCGCCATCGACAGCCAAAGTGGCACAAACTATGCGCCATCATTGCGGGGCCTGGTCACGATCTCCAGGGACAACGGGCAGAGCTCCATGTCCCTGACCATGAACAACCTCAAGGACGAGGATTCCGGATCCTATTTCTGCGCCAAGGAGTCCAGCAGTAACATTGCTGCTGGTGCCCTCGAATCTATTGACTTGACCCCATCCCTGGGTCCCCACCTGTCCCCATTCCCCAGGTCCTTCCCTCCAACCCTTGACCCCATTGGTGACCCCCACAGACCCAAATCCGGCCCGTTTTCCCCAAATCTCAACCATTTGCACCCAGGTTTGGGGACCTTGGCTGAGACTCGGTGCCAAGAGCTGAGGTTTGGGGCAGAACCGGCTGAGTTTGGGGCCAACGGTCAGAAGTGATCCCCGCTGAGATCTGGGGCACAAAGGGCAGAGTTTTGGGCATGAACATTTGAGATTTGGGTGAAAGGCTGCAAGGTGCAGAGAAGTGGGAGAGGTAAGGCAGTGATGGTAGAGATTGAGGGAAAAGGGTCAAGATTCAGTTTTAAGAGTAAAGATTTGAGGGTAGAATGTGGGAAATTAGGGATGTCTGTGAGATCAAAGGCAGGGTGGGGCCATCATAACCATCGTAAATATAACCAGCACTACTAGAACCACCACCATAAGCATCTTTGGCACAGAAATAGGATCCGGAATCCTCGTCCTTGAGGTTGTTCATGGTCAGCGTCACCGAGCTCTGCCCGTTGTCCCTGGAGATCGTGAACCGGCCCTTGACCGAGGGCGCGTACTCGGTGCTGCCACCATTGTTGTAGATACTTGCTACAAATTCCAGCCCCTGCCCGGGTCTCTGGCAGATCCAGTACATTCCATAATCCCCAAAATCGAACCCGGACCCTCGGCAGAGGAGGCGCAGGGACCCCCCGGGGGGCTGGAGTTCCCCCCCACACTCCAGCAGGGTCACGGCCGCTTCCCCATCCCCAAACCTTGATCAGTTTTGCCCCAAATTCCCTTTGTCTGGCCCTAAATCTCCAACAGAGATTTCCAGTATTGTAAAGTGCCTTCAACCCTGCAATTAGCCCCAATCCACCCATTAATTAATTGGACAGCACCACCCGAATTTGCATCGCCTCATCTCCATCTCCCCTTTGTCCCGCAGGGCTCCGGGCGGCCGTGACCCTGCTGGAGTGCGGGGGGGACCTCCAGCCCCCCCGGGGGGTCCCTGCGCCTCCTGTGCCAAGGGTCCGGGTTCAGTTTTCGGGATTATGGAATGTTCTGGATCCGCCAGAGACCCGAGCAGGGTTTGGAATATGTCGCAAGCATCTACTCCAATAGTGCCTACACCTACTACGCGCCATGGGTCGAGGGCCTGGTCACGATCCCCAGGGACAACGGGCAGAGCTCGGTGACGCTGACCATGAACAACCTCAAGGACGAGGATTCCACCGTTTATTTTTGCGGAAAATCTGCTGGTACTGGTGATGGTGGTGCTCTTGCTAATTAGGGTGTTGATGATGGTCGTGTCCCCATCTCCGTGTCCCCCTCTGTCCCCGTTTCCCAGACCCTTCCCCCAAGCCCCCAGCCCACACCCAGCCCTTGACCATTGATCCCAACCTTGCTCTGCCTCGGCCCCAATTCTCACCCGCTGACCCCAAGCCACAACTCCTGACCCCAAATCTCCTCTTTGTGCCCCAAAACTTTGCTCAGACGGTCGGGATTTGAGGCCCAGGGTTCTGAGAAACCTCATTGGTTGAAGGCCCCAAACTGGGTGTGGACTGCTGGTAAAAGGGGCAGGACCTGCCTGGGAGGAGGATGAAGAACTCCAAGGGTCACAGTTTGGGGCCAAGGGTCAGGATTTGAGTCAAGGGTTGAGCTTTGGCCTCATCCCCATCTCCCCTTTGTCCCGCAGGGCTCCGGGCGGCCGTGACCCTGCTGGAGTGCGGGGGGGACCTCCAGGCCCCCGGGGGTTCCCTGCACCTCCTCTGCCAAGGGTCCGGGTTCAGTTTCGGCAGTTTTGCCCTGAACTGGGTCCAATAGAGACCCGGGAAGGCGCTGGAGTGGCTCGCAGGGAGGTAAAGCAATGGTGGCAGCGCCTGCTATGCGCCATCAGTCAAGGGCTGGTTCACGATCTCCGGGGACAACGGGCAGAGCTCGGTGACGCTGACCATGAACAGCCTCAAGGACGAGGATTCCGGATCCTATTTCTGTGCCAAAAATATTGATAATAATTTCTGCAGTGCTGGTGCTCCTCTTGATCCATCTGATCCCATCATCGGGTCCCCATCCGTCCCCATTTCCCAGACTCTTCCTCCATTCCTGTCGCCCTGTCCCAGCTCTGAACTGGCTCTGCCCCAATCTCACCTCTTGCCACCAAATCTCAGCTCTTGGCTCCAAGGCTCTACCAAGGTCCCCAAACCTGGGTGCACATGGTCGAGATTTAGGGAAAATGGGCCAGATTTTTTTCCGTGGCTGTGACTCAGTTCCACCACTGCAGTTTTGGGACAGAACGGGTCCAGTTGGGCAAAAATGGTTGGGATTGGATGGACGAAGGTGAGCTCAGCGTGAAACCGGCCCTGATTTGGGGCCAGGAGCTGAGATCTGGGGCAAGAGCAGGGCAAGGTTGGGACAAAGGGTCAGGAGTGGGATCAGGGGTTGGAGGGAAGGGTCTGGGGCAAGGGGAGAAGAACGAAGCTGAAAGGACAACCAGCAGCATCATTCCAACCACCAGTGCGTGGTTCTTTGGCACAGAAATAAACGGCGGAATCCTCGTCCTTGAGGTTGCTCACGGTCGGAGTCACCGAGCTCTGCCCGTTGTCCCTGGAGATCCTGACTCGATCCTTGAAGGATGGCGCGAGGTTGGTGCCAGAACCATGGCTCCTGATGCTCCCGACCCACTCCAGCCCCTGCCAGGGTCTCTGTCGGAGCCATTGCAGGGCAACACTCCCGAAACTGAACCCGGACCCTCGGCAGAGGAGGTGCAGGGACCCCCCGGGGGGCTGGAGGTGCCCCCTGCAATCCAACAGGGTCACTACAGCCCGGAGCCCTGTGGGACAAAGGGGAGATGGGGATGAGGCCAAAGCTCAACCCTTGACCCACATCCTGACCCTTGGCCCCACATTGGGATCCTTGGATTTCATCATCCTCCTCCCCAGTGGGTCCCGCCCCTTTTTCCACCTGGGTAAGCCCACTCAGATGCACTGGACCAATCAGGTTTCTCATCCCCATCTCCCCTTTGTCCCACAGGGCTCCGGGTGGCCGTGACCCTGCTAGAGTGCGGGGAGGACCTCCAGCCCCCCGGGGGGTCCCTGCGCCTCCTCTGCCGAGGGTCCGGCTTCAGTTTCGGCAATTTTGGCATGCACTGGATCCGCCAGAGACCCGGGCAGGGGCTGGAGTGGCTCGCAGGGATCAGTGACAATGGTGGCAGCACCAACTACGTGCCATCGGTCAAGGGTCGGTTCACGATCGCCAGGGACAACGGGCAGAGCTCGGTGACGCTGACCATGAACAACCTCAAGGACGAGGATTCCGGGTCCTATTTCTGTGCCAAACGTGACAATGGTTATGCTGGTGGTAATGCTGCTGCTGTTTTTGCCTTCACTTTTGGTAGTGACCATGAGGGTCGTGAAATTTCCCCAATCCCAGCAATGCTTCCCCCAAGTTGCAGCCCTTCTACAGCCTCGACCATTTTCCCCCAAACTCTGCCATTGTTGCCTGAACTCTGTGCTTTCCTCCAATTTTGCCCATTTCTCCCTAATCTCTACCAAGTCCCAGGCCCTGATTGGAGGAGCCCTGAACTGGAGGCCAGGGGTGAAGGTTTGGGGCCAATGGCTGAGACTTGGGGCCGGAGCAGGGGAGGGTTTGGGGTCAGTGCTGACCATTTGGGCACATGGGGACAAAGGGCCAAGGGCTGGGTGAAGAGGTGAGATTTGGGACGAAAATCAGAACTCTTGGGACTCAGTGCTGGGAGAGGTATCGGAACCAGGAGCTGGAGGCCATAACGGGCATCGTCAACATAACCAGCACTAGGAACACAACCAGAGCACGAAGCTTTCCCACAGAAAAAGGATCCGGAATCCTCGTCCTTGAGGTTGTTCATGGTCAGCGTCACCGAGCTCTGCCCGTTGTCCCTGGAGATCCTAAACTGGCCCTGCACCGAATCCGCGTAGTCGGTACTGCCACCTTTGCTGATCTGTGCAATGAATTCCAGCCCCTGCCCGGGTCGCTGTCGATACCAGCCCATCCCAAAACTGCAAAAACTGAACCCGGACCCTCGGCAGAGGAGGCGCAGGGACGCCCCGGGGCGTTGGATGTCCCCCCCGCACTCCAGCAGGGTCACGGCCGCCCGGAGCCCTGTGGGACAAAGGGGAGATGGGGATGAGAAACCTGATTGGTCCAGAAGGGGAAAAGGGGCGTGACTTCCAGGAAAAAAGGGCGGGGCCCGCCTGGGAGGTCCAGCAGGATCAGCAGGGCCAGGAGCCAGAGGGAGCTCGAGGCCGTGGCCGGGATGTGCCTGGGTTGGGATCCCGGGGGGTTTTGGGTGTTGTTAACAGTGTATTAACTGTGTAATCAATGCAGAATGCTCAGGATGAGGTATGTAATTAATTAAATAATTGATTGGGGTTAATTGCAGTTTTCAGGCATGTTGAGATATGGAAAACTCTGGTAGGGTTTTGGGGCTAAACAAGGGGAGTTATGAGAGAAATGGGTGAAGATTTGGGGATGGGCTCTGGGTGGCTGTGACCCTGCTGGAGTGCGGGGGGCACCTCCAGCCCCCCGGGTGGTCCCTGCGCCTCCTCTGCCGAGGGTCCGGGTTCAGTTTTTGCAGTTTTTGGATGGGCTGGTATGGACAGAGACCCGGGCAGGGACTGGAGTGGATCGCAGGGATCTGGAGCAGTGGTGCCATCTACTACGCGCCGTCTCTGCAGGGCCGGTTCACGATCTCCAGGGACAACGGGCAGAGCTCGGTGACGCTGACCATGAACAACCTCAAGGACGAGGATTCCGCCACCTATTTCTGTGCCAAATATGCGGTTTGGGCTGTTGCTGTGAATCCTTTTGTCCCCATTCGCATTGCTGTTTCCCCACTTGTCCCCATTTTCCAGATTCTTTCCCCAAACCCCAACCTGTCACCCCATTCCTGTCCCCGTGTAACAGCTCTGAACTAACTCTGCCCCAAATCTCTGCTCCTGCCCCAAATCAGGGCCGATTTCACCCTGAGCTCGACCTCGTCCCTCTAATCCCAACCATTGCCCCCAGACTTGTCCAGTTTCACCCCAAATCTCCCCTGCGGGCCCCGAGTCACAGCCACTGACCCAAATCTGCCCCTTGGCCTCAGAATGGGAATTTTGGGCCAAATTTGAATTCTTGATCCCTGATCTTAACTTTGGGCCCAAATCCAGACATTTCGGTGACATTTGGGGAACGAGGGTGCTGAGTGTGGCCCAGAGGGGACATTTAGGGCAGAGCCAGAGCAGAGCTGCGACTGAGGGTGAGGAAATGGGGTCAGGTGCTGGGGATTGGGGGAAGGGTCTGGGGAACAGGAAAGAGGCCAAAAGGATAAACTGGAGCAGCACCCCAATTACCGGCACCAGAAAATTTGGCACAGAAATAGGATCCGGAATCCTCATCCTTGAGGTTGTTCATGGTCAGCGTCACCGAGCTCTTCCCGTTGTTCCTGGAGATCCTGAACCGGCCCTTGACCGATGGCGCGTAGTAGGTGGTGCCTCCACCAGTGTTGATCCCTGCGACCCATTCCAGCGCCTGCCCGGGTCTCTGACGGATCCAAAACATGTCAAAACTCCCAAAATTGAACTCAGATGTGCGGCACAGCAACGTCAGGGACCCTCCGGGGGGCTGGAGGTGCCCCCCGCACTCCAGCAGGGTCACGGCCGCCCGGAGCCCTGAGGGACAAAGGGGACATGGGGATGAGGGCAAAGCTCAACCCTTCACCCAAACCCTGAAACTTGGCCCCAAAATGGGACCCTTGGAGTTCTTCATCCTGCTCCCAGGTGGGTCCTGTCCCTATTTCCAGCTGGCTTTGCCCACTTTGAGTCCCTTGACGAATCAGGTTTCTCATCCCCATCTCCCCTTTGTCCCGCAGGGCTCCGGGCGGCCGTGACCCTGCTGGAGTGCGGGGGGCACCTCCAGCCCCCCGGGGGGTCCCTGCGCCTCCTCTGCCAAGGGTCCAGGTTCAGTTTCAGCAGTTTTGGGATGGGCTGGTATCGACAGAGACCCGGACAGGGGCTGGAAGCAGTCGCAAGTATCACCAGCAGTGGCAGCGCCTACTATGCAGATTCGGTCAAGGGCCGGTTCAGGATCTCCAGGGACAACGGGCAGAGCTCGGTGACGCTGACCATGAACAACCTCAAGGACGACGATTCCGGATCCTATTTCTGTGCCAAACGTGCTTATGCTGATAATTGGAGTCCTGGTGCTTCTGCTCAGGACGCCCATGCTGGATTCCTCCCCATCTCAGTGTCCCCTCCTGTCCCCAATTCCCAGACCCTTCCCCCAAATCTCAGCCCTTGACCCCATTCTTGACCCTTTGTCCCAGATCTCCCCCATTACCAACACCACCAACCAGGAAGCAAAAACCCCCAAACTGGTTCTGCCCCAAACCCAACTAACTTGGCAACAATACTCCCCCGATTCTTCCCGAAATCCCCACTTTGTGCTCCCAGCCACAGCCACTGAAACGAGTCCTCAACCTTTGTCCCCAAATCGGGACCCTGGGCCTCAAACCCCGACCCTCTGAGCAAAGTTTGGGGCACAAAGAGGAGATTTGGGGTCAGGAGTTGTGGTTTGGGGTCAGCGGGTGAGAATGACGCTGATGAGGTGGGATGAGACAAAAGCTCAACCCCTGACCCAAATCCTGACTCTTGGCACCAAATTGGGACCCTTGGATTTCATCATCCTTCTCCCGTATGGGTCCTGCCCCTTTTTCCAGCAGACCACACCCGCTTTGAGCCCACAGCCAATGAGGTTTCTCATCCCCATCTCCCCTTTGTCCCGCAGGGCTCCGGGCGGCCGTGACCCTGCTGGAGTGCGGGGGGGAACTCCAGCCCCCCGGGGGGTCCCTGACGTTGCTCTGCATCGGCTCTGGCTTCACTCTGGCCAATCACGACATGTTCTGGATCCGCCGGAGACCCGGGCAGGGGCTGCAGTTGGTCGCCCACATCACCTGCAGTGGAGGTTACACCATCTACAGTCCATCGGTGCAGGGCGGGTTCACAATCTCCAGGGACAACGGGCAGAGCTCGGTGACGCTGACCATGAACAACCTCAAGGACGACGATTCCGGATCCTATTTCTGTGCCAGACATCACAAATATTGGGGCGCTGATTTTGTTTTTATTGCCGATGCTCTCAGCGATCCCATGCCCTTGATGGTCTCTAAATGTCTCCAATCGCCACAGATTCTTCCCCAAAATCCCAACCCTTCTCCTCAAATCTTGGCTATATTCCCCCAATCTCTGCCCCTGTTCCCGCAGCACTGGAGTTTCCCCAATTTTGCCCATTTCACTCAAATCTCCCCCAGCTCCCTGAACTCTGATTGGCTGATTGGGCACAGTCAAAAATGGGAACTCTTGGAGAGCAAGGCCTGAATTGGGGGACGTGTTTGATTGTTTGGGGTCAATGGTTGAGTTTAGGGGCAGGAGCAGGGCAGGGTTTGGGGTCAGTGCTGACCATTGGTGCAAATGGGGGAGATTTGGGACAAAGGGTCAAGGGCTGAGGTTTGGGGGAAGAGTCTGGGGTTGGGGACAGGGGGGGCTCAGACAGGGGTGGTGCCACCACCGGAATGGTCAATATAAGCAGCAGCATTACCACCAGCACCACTCTCTTTGGCACAGAAATAGGTGGCGGAATCCTCGTCCTTAAGGTTGTTCATGGTCAGCATCACCGAGCTCTGCCCGTTGTCCCTGGAGATCGTGAACCGGCCCTTGACGGATGGTGCGTACCTGGTGCTGCCACCACTGCTGGTGATACTTGCAAGCCATTCCAGTGCCTTTGTTGGTCTCTGTCGATACCAGCCCACGCCAAAACGGCCAAAATCGAACCCGGACCCTCGTCAGAGGAGGCGCAGGGACCCCCCAGGGGGCTGGAGGTCCCCCCCGCACTCCAGCAGGGTCACGGCCGCCCGGAGCCCTGCGGGACAAAGGGGAGATGGGGATGAGGCCAAAGCTCAACCCTTGACCAAAATCCTTACTCTGGGCCCCAAACTGGGACCCTTGGAGTTCATCATCCACCTCCCAGCAGGTCCCATCACGTTTTCCAGCAGACCACATGCACTATGAGACATTCAAGCGATCAGGTTTTTCATTTCCATCACCTCCCCTTTGTCCCGCAGGGCTCCGAGCGGCCGTGACCCTGGTGGAGTGTGGGGAGGACCTCCAGCCCCCCGGGGGTTCCCTGCACCTCCTCTGCCGAGGGTCTGGGTTCAGTTTCGGGAGTGTTGCCATGAACTGGGTCCGCCAGAGACCTGGGCAGGGGCTGGAGTGGCTCGCAGGAATCTACAAGGATGGTTCCAGCACCTACTACGCGCCATCGGTGCAGGGCCGGTTCACGATCTCCAGGGACAACGGGCAGAGCTCGGTGACGCTGACCATGAACAACCTCAAGGTCAAGGATTCCGGATCCTATTTCTGTGCCAAGGCTGCTTATAATGGTTACCAAAATCAGGCTGCTGCTTATCATTTGATCCCGTCTCCGTCCCTGTGTCCCCCCCTGTCCCCGTTCCCCAGACCCTTCCCCCAATCCCCAACCCCAGACCCCATTCCTGTCCCCGTGTCCCAGCTCTGATCTGGCTCTGCCCCAAATCTCCCCCATTTTCCCCCAAATTCTTTACTCTCGGACCCACATCTTGACTCTATGAAATTTTTGTGCCAAACCCTCAGGATTCGGTGCCCCCAGTGCGGGTTTGGGGCCAGGGGTGCAGATTTGGGGCTGCCCCAGAGGGATTTTCAGGCCCGTGGTCACAATGGAAGGGAGCGGAAATCTGGGGTGAATGGCTGAGGTTTGGGGGATGGTTCTGGGCAAACAGCCCCAGGGTGAGGTGAAGGGCGAGATTTGGGGGAAATGGGAAAAATTGGGGGAAAGTCCAGACTTGGGTCAGCAGGGGTGGAGTTTGGGGGAAAATGGTGAAGTTTTGTGTGGAGGATTTTATTAAGAGTTGGTTAGTGAGAAAAGCCATACTGACATAATGCCACTGGTTAAGCTGAAAGAGGGAGATCAGCAGTCTCTGATTCAGTGACTGCTGACAAGCAAGAATGCCGGATGGCCTTGCTGCAACATGAGGAAAGGGAGGTGAGATTAGTCCTGAATATCTGCAGAATGTAACAGAAGAATAAGCACAAGAATGTAGAAGTAGGTGTAGTTGTTGATACGTAACTAACCAATCCTGAGCTCAACTTTTGCAATATGTATGAAGCTTATTAAGAACTATATTTAACCCGCCGTATTCGATCAATAAATTGGACTTGGATGAACCAACTGGTGTCTGGGTCTCCTTCCTCCGACAAATGCTGGAGAATGCGGGCAAAGGCAGCACTCTGAACGTTCGCTCTCTTGGATTATAAATTCGCCACGGTCGGGGAAGTTGGGTGAGAGTCCTTGCAGCCGGGACGGTGCCGGATTTTAAAAGCACCCTTGAGGATTACAAAAGGTATCTCAAGTCTCTACGTGTCGCAGGAGCCTGGAAGGGCTGCAACAGCACGCGCTGATATATAGGTATGGATAGGCAAACGACATACGATTCCTTCTCCTCATATTTAGAAAGGCGAGGAGTAAAAGGGATAGATTTAAAAAAGGAATTACCAGGGTTATTAGCTTATGGTCATTCTAAAGGAATTTTTGCTAACCCACATACAGTTCATGAGATAGCAGAGTGGAAAAAGTTTGGGGATATCCTGTGGGATGCAGTGTTAGATGATGATAAGTCAGCAAAGAAATTTGGCAAGTTATGGCGGGTGGTGTATAATACGTTACTTCAGCAGGTCTCTGAGAGAAAGGCAGCAGAAAGGGCGACAGAAGCTCATAAGAGGAATATAGGGTATGGTCGTGAGGATGATCCCTTAGCACCTTCTGTAACTCAGATACTTATGCTTAAGGGTCCCCAGCAAAATGGTGTGGAAAATTTTCCCTTAGATACAGTGGAACCATCTGCACCCTTCCTGTCAGAGGGGGAGGTCGAGTTGGATGGTGGAGGTAAGAGCAAGCCAGCTTTGCCTCCGCCGCCAGCTTCAGGCGAGTTGGATGGTGGAGGTAAGAGCAAGCCAGCTTTGCCTCCGCCGCCAGCTTCAGGCGGGTCGGATGGTTAAAGTGGGAGCAAGCCAGCTTCGCCGCCGCCGCCACCTTTGCCTCCGCCGCTTCCCCTGAGCGGGCCGACTCCCGGGGGGCCACTTCCCCCCCGCGAGTCGTCTCCGGTTTCACTGTCAGCTCCAGCAGCGGGGGGGCCGCTTGCCCCACGCGAGCCCGCCTCAGCAGGGGGGCCGCTTCCCCCGCGCGAGTCAGCTCCTGCTCCACCGCCTTCCCCGTGCTAGAACTCGGTCTCGGTACCGAAGTGCCAGCAGCATAGCACCCTTAAAGAGTCAGATCCCATCCCGGGGGCACACAGTGACCTATGGGGGGAGATGGCTAAACAGAGGAGGGAAGCTTGGGCTGCTGTGGCAAAAGAAGTAATGCAGATGGGGGATGGCGAGGCGGTGGAAGTAGCTTCTAATCTTGCATGTCCGGTTACATACACACCACAGTATGATGCACAGGGGAACCTTACACATAATATAGCGGCATATAGTCCCTTAGATTGGAAGTTGTTAGCCCAGTTACGTTCTACGGTTAGTCAGTTTGGAGTAAAAAAGTGAACCTGTTAGGCAAATGCAAGAGTGTTAGCTACTTTAGGGGCAAATTGGACTATTGAGGAAGCATTAGAGCGAATGGCATTAATGCCAACAGCTTCACAGGCATTTCTAGCAGAAACTTTAAAGGAATTAGGATTAGGGTTACAAAAGCAAGCAGAGTCTACTCAAAGTCAGGTGTTAGCTGCTCAGAATCAGGTGTTAGCTGCTCTTGCTCCTCTCCGAAGCGGCTCACTGGCAGACACGCAGAGCTCGAGACCATTCATCGAGTGTTACTGATGCGGCAATGAGGGACATACGCGCCCAGACACAAGTTGCCGCCGTGACATCGGAGACACCAGCTGCCGACGCAACATCGCTGTCACCTCCTGTCTGCAACCAGCCACAGCAGGGAGCCTCGGCTTGGACTTATCAGCAGCAGTAGACGTCACACTAATGACGAACCAGCCTGAGAGGATACAAACTGGAGTAAAGGGTCCTCTTATATTAAATCGATAAAGATGTGGAGCATGGTTATTAGGACGTTCTTCAATAACTATGCTGGGATTATTTGTATTGCCTGGTGTTATCGATGCGGATTATACAGGGGAAATACAAATTATGGTTTACACCCTTAATCCTCCTATTAGAATAACAAAAGGACAACGCATTGCACAATTAATACCACTATCACAAATGACATCTGGTATACCATCATTTACTGGACAAACGCGGGATGAAAAGGGTTTTGGCTCTACTGGTGTTACACTTTTAACTGTGGATTTACAAAATAGACCAAAACAAAAAGTGGAAATTACCCATGGGCATCAAAGCATAACCCTTTATGGATTATTGGATACAGGAACTATTACTGCTTTTACAGATGCAGGAAAGAAATCAAGGCGTGCTGCTGTCACCTGGCAAGAAAAAGGACAATGGAAGCATCAACTTCTTACAGCAGATCCTGCAGATAGCTTACAAACTTTGGAATTGTTGGCAGTAGTATGGGCAGTGTCCAACTTACAGGAGCCTTTAAATGTGGTCACAGACTCTATGGATGTTGCCGGAGTAGCCAGACGAATAGAGGAAGCAGCAATTAAGGAAGTGAATAATAAACGATTGTATGAGCTATTGATACAATTAAGGAAAGCTTTACGAGAAAGAAATGCAGCGTATTCTGTGATTCATATTAAGAGCCATAAATGGTCTGAAGGTTTAGGAGAAGGGAATGAACGTGCAGATAAATTGGTTACCTTACCCATTGATAACTCTTGTCCTATTGATAAGCATACATTGGCCAGAGAAGCACATAGTAAATATCATCAAAATGCAAAAGGATTAGCAAAGCACTTTGAGCTGAGTTTATCAGAAGCTAAGGCTATTGTTAGAGCATGTCCAACATGTAGTTATCATAATGGTGGAATAGGTTTAGACTTTGGAGTTAATCCTCGAGGTTTAGAAATAAATGAGAAATGGCAAATGGATGTTACACATATCGCTAGATTTGGTAAAGTTAAGTGTGTGCATGTCACTATAGATACATATAGTCATTACATATGGGCTACGGCTCAGGCAGGAGAAAAAGCTACACATGTTATCAGGCACCTGTTAAGTTGTTTTGCTGTCATGGGAGTCCCAAAGAGTATCAAAACGGATAATGGTCGAGCTTATGTGAGTGCTAGGGTCCAGAAATTCTTGAATCAGTGGTCTGTTAAGCATGTGACAGGTATTCCACACTCTCCTACTGGATAGGCAATAGTGGAAAGAGCAAATGGTACCCTTAAGCAGTATATTGAAAAGCATCAAGATATAAAGGACCCACAATCATGTTTAGCTAAGGTTCTGTATGTGATCAATCATTTATGTATTTTTGGGGAAGGCGATATCCCTCCTGCAATTAAACATCATCCGAGGTCAGGTCAGGAAATTAAAACTCGACTACAGGATTATGGGAAAAACCTGCAAAAGTATTATACTGGGGTCAGGGATATCTCTGTGTTTCCTCACCTACAGGACCTTTGTGGGTGCCTGCTAAGTGGACTAAACCTGTTTTTGATGCAGCCTCTGGTGGACTGCCTCACGGAGGAGGACAAGGAGCTACTGGGGAAGAAACTGTTTCTAGTCCTACGACCACTACTGTTATAGTTGAAGGGACACTCAAAAGTGTTGGACAGAGCACTGACACGTCACTATCGGACGGCCCAGGAGCTGATTGGTTTTATTGACTCATTATCAACTTTTCGTTTAACAAATCCAGCAAAGGAACATTGCCTTGACTGTTATGATCCACATTGTGCTGCCTGGATAGCTCTACGTTGTGGGGGTTGTGATAGAACTTTTTGGATAGAACAATCATTATTATGGGATTTATGGTGTCACACTTGTGAGCATGAGCACACATGGGGTAAAAACTGGCAAGATGAATTAAGGAGACAAACGGGGCTAAATGCATATGTAGCTTTAAATCTTTATGAGTCTCCTGAACAGAAAATTCTTGCTTATTATCGTTGGGAAGTACAATGTGTTGTAAGTAGAATTAAGGTTCAAAGTAAATCACGTATAATTTCTGTAAGGTGTAGAAAATTAGTACCTTTAACACAACATTCTATTGTAGGGCCCTTCAGGGGGAATCCTGAAAGAGCATTGCATCATTGCATTGAAAAATTACAAAAATTAAGTTTGAAAGTGACGGGACCAGTGAAATTAGGAGCAGCAAAACTGAAAACAGATAAGAAAAAGAAGGTAAGATGGGGAACAACCTCATCTAAATAAGGCTATTAGTGATTGCTAATTAGTTTTCTATGATTAGGGCAATTTCACATCTATGGGACCCTGCCTTGTGGGATGCTCTAGCTCCATGGGACCCTGCTTCGTGGCATGCTATAGGTGTTGAAGAACAAGAACAGCGATTACGAGATAAGATACATTTTGTATTAAAGAAGGAGCTTGAATTGGTAGCCGTATATAGTAAGAAAGCTGAAGAGGCTTTGCAATCACCACCATTGAACTGGTTGGATTGGATCACACAGACAAATTTTAATACTGATCCTTTCCTATATACACTTCCTTGTTATGTTTGCAAAAAGGATAATGATAAGTGCTATGCTTGGGTAGCTTTGCATTGTGCTGATTGCAATAAGGTTTACTGGTATTCACAGAGGACAGTAGGAATTTTATGGTGTCACCCTTGTTTTGGGAAGTGGATTCGATATTCTTCCTGGTATAGAGCTCTTGAGCAAAGTACTGGTCTACCAGGAAGGTCAGGATTACAACTTTATGAGAGTGCAGAACAAGTGGCCATAGCATATATAAGGTGGAAATTACAGCAAGTACTTAGAGAGCTTGAAATTACTACATCCTCACGCATCATAGCAGCTCGCTGTAAAGCTGATTTGCTTTTAAACTTACCTCACGCTATACCTGTAAGCAAAGATGCTGATTTGGAATTAGATCAGTGTATTCAGAAATTGACTCAGCCTCACAATAGACATTCTAACAAACCAGGGAAAAGACAACGAAGAAAGGAAAAACAGAGAAAGCAGAAAGAAGAATGAAGTTTGTTTTTATACTGCTCAATGCTGTAGTAAGTGAAGCGATAGGGATAACACGTTTCAGTCAGCCAAGAGAAAATCTATGGGTAACACTTGCTAAACAGATTAACCAATCATCGCTTTGTCTTAGTCTTGGAGGAATTACTAACCCATTTCGAACATGCCTGGTAGGACTTCCGGTGTGGTCTCCAGGAGAATTTTGTGGTTTGATAAATAATCGAACCTTATGTATGTCTAACATGTCAAACATCACATTGCCAGTGCAGCAAGGGTATACTGCAGGTCAGAGTGATGGCTATCGCCAATGCTTACTAATCCAATCACTTAACACTTCTTTGCATTCTCCTCCTGAGGAACTGGATCTTTTTGGAAGTGCAAATGCCAGTATGCCTAACACTACAGCTGGAGGATAGTTTAGTTTCAAACCCTTGGATGTTCAAAATTGAAATCAACCTAAAGACACATGGGCCACCTTAGATTCATCCCTGAATTTGAGTGAATTCTCTCCACAGTATTACAGTCAATGTAACAGTACAAAAATCACGGCACCAATGAAATTACCTACAGGAATATTTTTAATTTGTGGAGACAGGGCGTGGAATGGTGTACCAGCTAAGCCATAGGGTGGACCCTGTTATTTGGGAAAATTGTCCTTGTTTCACCCTAATGTATCCTTGCTAATGCAGCTCAGTCAAACATCAAACAGGAAAAAGCGTAGTATACATGACTTGGACTGCAGCCAGATAGGAGATCCAAAGTTTTGGGGTACATTCAAACAAGTAGTAGTTTCCACTATATTGCCAGGAGGATCTGCCAATAAGGCTATGAATTTAGCAAAGCAGTTAGGGTGCTGGACAAGAAATGAGCTAAACAAGACATCCCAAATTCTAGACATGTTAACTGCAGATGTGCAGAGTGTTAACCATGCTGTCTTACAAAATAGAGCTGCTGTAGATTTTTTGCTCTTAGCACAAGGGCATGGATGTGAAGAGTTTGAGGGAATGTGTTGCATGAATTTGTCTGATCATTCGGTGTCCATTCACACTAAGATAAAAGAACTACAACAGGGACTTCACAATCTCAAAGAAGAAGAAGGTTTAGGAATTGACGAATGGCTTAAAAACTTAGGACTTGGGCCATGGCTGAGGAACCCTGTGATCTATGCTATAGGACTACTGGGTGTAGTTTTACTGTTTTTGCTTATTTTGCCTTGTGTCTTTAATTGTATTCAAAACATGGTCAGTCGTATGATAGCAAAAATGCAGACTAGTCTTCTTGCTCAAGAAGAAAACGGGGGAAATGTGGAGGATTTTATTAAGAGTTGGTTAGTGAGAAAAGCCATACTGACATAATGCCACTGGTTAAGCTGAAAGAGGGAGATCAGCAGTCTCTGATTCAGTGACTGCTGACAAGCAAGAATGCCGGATGGCCTTGCTGCAACATGAGGAAAGGGAGGTGAGATTAGTCCTGAATATCTGCAGAATGTAACAGAAGAATAAGCACAAGAATGTAGAAGTAGGTGTAGTCGCTGATATGTAACTAACCAATCCTGAGCTCAACTTTTGCAATATGTATGAAGCTTATTAAGAACTATATTTAACCCGCCGTATTCGATCAATAAATTGGACTTGGATGAACACACTGGTGTCTGGGTCTCCTTCCACCGACAGTTTTGAGGAGAAGGGCTGGGATTTGGGGGAAGGATTGCCAGGATTGGGGAAATTTGGAAACCACCCTGGTCACTACCAGGATTGATGCCAAAACCAGCAGCATTACCATTGCCAGCGTAATCACTGGAACGTTTGGCACAGAGATAGGATCCAGAATCCTCGACCTTGAGGTTGTTCATTGTCAGGGTCACCGAGCTCTGCCCGTTGTCCCTGGAGATCGTGAACCGGCCCTTGACCGACTTTGAGCAGGTGATGGTGCCACCACTGTATATGTATGCCACGAATTGCAGTCCCTGCCCCGGTCTCTGGCAAACGCAGAACATTCCAAAAGTCCCAAAATTGAACCCAGATGCGTGGCACAGCAACGTCAGGGACCCCCCGGGGGGCTGGAGGTCCCCCCTGCACTCCAGCAGGGTCACGGTCGCCTGGAGCCCTGCGGGACAAAGGGGATTCGAAAAGCTCAACCCTTGACCCAAATCCTGACTCTTGGTCCCACATTGGGTCCCTTGGAGTTCATCATCCTCGTCCCAGGTTTGTCCAGTCCCTTTTTCCAGCTGGCCACACCTGCTTTGAGGCCCTCAACCAATGAGGTTTCTCATCCCCATCTCCCCTTTGTCCCGCAGGGCTCCGGACAGCCGTGACCCTGCTGGAGTGTGGGGGGGACCTCCAGCCCCTCGGGGGTTCCCTGCGCCTCCTCTGCCGAGGGTCCGGGTTCGATTTTGGCAATTTTGGGATGGGCTGGATACGGCAGAGACCCAGGCAGGGGCTGGAGTTTGTCGCGAGTGTCACCAGTGATGGCGCCACTCCCAGATACGCGCCGTCATTCAAGGGCCGGTTCACGATCTCCACAGACAACGGGCAGAGCACGGTGATGCTGACCATGAACAACCTCAAGGACGAGGATTCCGCTGTTTATTTCTGTGTCAAACTCTGCAATGGTTACGCTGGCAATGCTATTGACGCCGGTTTTGGCGTCACGTCTGGTAGTGACCATGATGGTCAAAAAATGTTTCCAATCCCAGAGATACTCCCCCAAAATCCCAGCCGGGTTTCTAAAATCTTGGCCATTTCCCCCAAAGTCCACCATCACTTCCCCAATTCCCAATTTCCCCCCAATTTTGCCCATTCCTCCCCAATCTCCCCCAGTTCCCCTCCTTCCCAGTGCGGAACGGGGATCGCTCCAGGGCCCTTTGCACACAAAGCTTTTTGTGCAGCCGGTGCTCTGCCACAGCGCCCCGAGGCTGAGCTGCCCTCTGCCAAACACAGATGTTCACAATGACCAAAACCAGGAACTTTCTGTTTCCTTTACTTCCCCGGCCGGGCCCCGGCAGCTGCCGGGGAGGAAGTGGGGGGAGGCTGCGGAGCCCCAAAATCGCGGCGTCTGCTCCTCTCTCCCTCCCTGCCTCGCTCCCACCTGGGGCTTCACTTCTCCCCCAGTGGTCTTGGTGTCTGGGGCTGCTCCTTGGGGCTGGGCTGGAATCCTCTCTGGGAGCTCAGGACATGGCGACGATGCTGATGGTGGCCCCAAACCCCCATCCCTGGCTCCCCAAATGTCCCAAAATCCCCAAATCCTGCCCCAAATCCCAACCCTTGATCCCCTTCTTGACCTTCACCTTGTGTCTACCATCTTTGCCCCAACTTCCGACTTTCTCCTAATTATTCCCATTTCACACAAATCTCCCCCAGCTCCTGGGCCCTTATTGGAGGAGCCTTAGCTGGAGCCCAGGGGTGAAGGTTTGGGGCAATTGGTTGAGTTTTGGGGCAGGAGCAGGGGAGGGTTTGGGGTCAGTGCTGACCATTGGTGCAAATGGGGGAGATTTGGGACAAAGGGTCAAGGGCTGGGGTTTGGGGGGAGGGTCTGGGATTGGAGACGGGGGGGACACTGAGAGGGGGGTGGATCCACAACTGTCATCTTCACTATAAGCACCAGGACTACAACAACCACTACCAGCATATTTGGCACAGAAATAGGTGGCGGAATCCTCGTCCTTGAAGTTGATCATGGTCAGCGTCACCGAGCTCTGCCCTTTGTCCCTGGAGATCGTGAACCGGCCCTTGACCGATGGCGCGTACGCGGTGTAAGCACCATTGCTGGTGATCCCTGCGAGCCATTGCAGCCCCTGCCCGGGTCTCTGGCGCACCCAGTGCATCCCAAAACCTCCAAAATCGAACCCGGATGCTCGGCAGAGGAGGCGCAGGGACGCCCCGGGGGGCTGGAGGTCCCCCCCGCACTCCAGCAGGGTCACGGCCGCCCGGAGCCCTGCGGGAAAAAGGGGAGATGGGGATGAGAAACCTGAGTGGTGAAGAGTGCCCAAGTTGGCATTGCATGATTGAAAAAGGGGTGGGACCCCTGTAGGCGGAGGATGATGAATTCCAAGGTTCCCAATTTGGGGCCAAGTTTCAGGGTTTGGGTCAAGGGTTGAGCTTTGGCCTCATCCCCATCTCTCCTTTGTCCCGCAGGGCTCCGGGCGGCCGTGACCCCGCTGGAGTGCGGAGAGACCTCCAGCCGCCCCGGGGGGTCCCTGTGCCTCCTCTGCTGAGGGTCCAGGTTCAGTTTTGGACAATATGGGATGGGTTGGTATCGACAGAGACCCGGGCAGGCACTGGAATACGTCGCGAATGTCAACAACAATGTTGGTTACCTCGAGTACGCGCCATCGTTCAAGGGCGTGTTCACGATCTCCAGGGACAACGGGCAGAGCTCGCTGACGCTGACCATGAACAACCTCAAGGACGACAATTCCACCACCTATTTCTGTGCCAAATCTCCTGGTACTGGTGGTGCTGGTGCTAATTATATTTAGAATGCCGGTGATGGCCCCATCACCTGACACTGGGCTCACAGACATCCCAAAAACTCCTACTTTCTTCCATCAAATCTTTGCCCTTGTCTCTAAACCGTGACAGTTTTCCCGAATCTCCACCATCATTGTCTCACCTCTCACATTTCTCTTGCAGCTTTAGGCAATTGACCCAAATCTCAACTGTTCATGCCTAAAACTCTGCCCTTTGGTCCCCAGATCTCAGTGGGGTTCACTTGTGACCATTGGCCCCAAACTCAGCTGGTTCTGCCCCAAATCTGAGCTCCTGGACCCAAACCTCAGTTCTTGGCTCCAAGTCTTAACCGAGGTCCCCAAACCTGGGTGCAAATGGTCGAGATTTGAGGAAAATGGGCCAGACTTGGGTTGGTGGGGGTCAGGGATGGGGTCAAGGTTTGCAGGGAATGGTCTGGGGAATGGGGACAGGTGGGGACCTGGGGATGGGCACGGGTCAATAGATTCAAGGGCACAAGCAGCAATGTTAGTGCTGGACTCCTTGGCGCAGAAATAGGATCCGGAATCCTCGTCCCTGAGGTTGTTCTCAGTCAGGGACATGGAGCTCTGCCCGTTGTCCCTGGAGATCCTGACCCGGCCCCACAGTGACGGTGCGTAGTAGGTGCCACCATAGCTGTCGATAGCGGCCACCCACTGCAGCCCCTGCCCGGGGCTCTGGCGGATCCAGTGCAGATCAGAACCACCGAAATGGAACCCGGACCCTTGGCAGAGGGGGCGCAGGGACCCCCCGGGTGGCTGGAGGTCCCCCCCACACTCCAGCAGGGTCACGGCCACCCGGAGCCCTGCGGGACAAAGGGGAGATGGGGATGAGGGCAAAGCTCAACCCTTGACCCACATCCTGACCCTTGCCCAAAAATTGGGACCCTTGGAGTTCATCATCCTCCTCCCAGGAGGGTCTTATAACTTTTTCTAACAGGCCACACCCACTATGAGGCCCTTGACCAATCAGGTTTCTCATCCGCATCTCCCGTTTGTCCCACAGGGCTCCGGGAGGCCGTGACCCTGCTGGAGTGCAGGGGGGACCTCCAGCTCCACAGGGGGTCCCTGCGCCTCCTCTGCCGAGGGTCTGGGTTCAGTTTCAGCAGTTTTGCCCTGAACTGGGTCTGACAGAGACCCGGGCAGGCGCCAGAATTCATCGCGTGGATCAGGAGCGATGGTTCCAGCACCAGGTACGCGCCATCAGTCAAGGGCCGGGTCACGATCTGCATGGACAATGGGCAGAGCTCGGTGACACTGACCAGGAACAACCTCAAGGACGAGGATTCCGGATCCTATTTCTGCGCCGAAATTTCTGGTGCTGCTTGGGATGCTGCTACTTATATTGACCGTGCCGGTGGTGGCAGCGCCCCAAGGCCTGAGACTCTCTTGTCCCCAAATCTCAGAACCTTTACCCAAATCTCAGCCCTTGACTCCATTCTTGACCCATTTGCCCAGATCTGCCCCATTTCCACCAAAGACCCCAAACCCCCAAACTGGTTCTGCCCCAAACCTTCCTGCTTTGGCCCCAAAACTCGCCCAATTCTGGCCCAAATTCCCACTCTGGGTTCCCAGCCACAGCCGCTGACCCAAACCTCACCCGCTGCCCCCAAATCTCAGCCCTCGGGGTACTTTTGGGGGTCGAGGATGAGATTTGGGGCTGAGAGTTGAGTTTGGGGGCAGACCCAGGGCAGGGTTTGGGGGCAATGGGCAGCGCTGGGGCAAAGGGGGCGGGGCTTGGACAAAGGATCAGGGGTGGGTCAGGGGGGTTTGGGGAAGGGTCTGGGGACAGCTGGGGACAGCTTGGGGCTCAGAGATGGAGCTGGCACCACCAATGCCATCGTCACCAAATGCAGAACTTGGATTATATTCATTAAAACATTTGGCACAGAAATAGGATCCGGAATCCGCGTCCTTGAGGTTGTTCATGGTCAGCGTCACCAAGCTCTGCCCGTTGTCCCTGGAGATCGTGAACCGGCCCTTGACTGATTCCGCGTAGTTGATCCTGCCACTGCTCCAGATCTCAGCAAGGAATTCCAGCCCCTGCCCGGGTCTCTGTCGATACCAGCCAATCCCAAAACTCCCAAAACTGAACCCGGATCCTCGGCAGAGGAGGTGCAGGGACCCCCCGGGGGGCGGGAATTCCTCCCCGCACTCCAGCAGGGTCACTGCCGCCCGGAGCGCTGCGGGACAAAGGGGAGATGGGGATGAGGCCAAAGCTCAACATTGACCCAAATCCTGAGTCTTGGCCACAAATTGGGACCCTTGGAGTTCATCATCCTCTTCCCAGGTGCATTCCATCCCTTTTTCCAGTTTGCCACACCCGCTTTGCGGCGCTGTACCAATCAGGTTCCTCATCCCCATCTCCCCTTTGTCTCTCAGGGCTCCGGGCAGCCGTGACCCTGCTGGAGTGTGGGGGGGACCTCCAGCCCCCCGGGGGGTCCCTGCGCCTCCTCTGCCGAGGGTCCGGGTTCAGTTTCGGGAGTTTCAACATGGGCTGGATGCGTCACAGACCTGGGAAGGGGCTGGAATTCGTGGCAGGAATCAGCAACAACGGTGGCAACATTGGCTACACTCCAGCGGTCAAGGGCCGGTTCATGATCTCCAGGGACAACGGGCAGAGCTCGGTGACGCTGACCATGAACAACCTCAAGGACGAGGATTCCGCCACCTATTTCTGTGCCAAATGTTACAGCGGTGGTTATGCTTACCCTGCTTCTGCTTCTGGTATTGATGGGAGTTTTGGTCCGAAACCCTCCCCTCTCTATTTTCAAATATCACAGAATTCTCTGATCCTTCCCCCAAACCTCAGCCCTTTTTATCAAATCTCCACCGGTCTTCCCCAAACTCTGCTCCTGCTGCCCCAACTCTCAACGTTCCCCGAAATTTGCCCATTTCACCCAAATATCCTCCAGCTCCTGGGGTCCTCACTGGGAGGAGGCGAATTGGAAGTCGCGGGCGAAGTTTTGGGCCCAATGATTGAGTTTTGGGGCAGAACCAGTTAGGGTTGGGGAAGGTGCTGACCATGGGTGAAAATGGAGGAGATTTGGGACAAAGGGTCAAGGGCTGAGGTTTGGGAGTAAGGGTCTGGTGTTTGGGACAGGGGGGGGTACTCAAAGATGGGGACTCAGAACAAACCACCATGACCAACATCACCACAATCAATATCGTCACCAGCAGCAGTGTCGCAACAATCATCCCCATCCTTGGCACAGAAATAAACGGCGGAATCCTCGTCCTTGAGGTTGTTCGTGGTCAGCGTCATCAGACTCTGCCCGTTGTCCCTGGCGATCGTGAACCGGCCCTTGACTGAAACCGCGTACCAGGTGCTGCCACCGCTGCGGATGTAGGCGACGAATTCCAGCCCCTGCCCCGGTCTCTGTTGGACCCAGCTCATGGCAACACTCCCGAAACTGAACCCGGACCCTCGGCACAGCAACGTCAGGGATCCCCGGGGGGCTGGAGGTCCCCCCCGCACTCCAGCAGGGTCACGGCCGCCCGGAGCCCTGCGGGACAAAGGGGAGATGGGGATGGGAAACCTGATTGGTCCAGAAGGGGAAAAGGGGCGTGACTTCCAGGCAAAAGGGGCGGGGCCACCTGGGAGGGGCACCAGGATCAGCAGGGCCAGGAGCCGGAGGGAGCTCGAGGCCAAGACCGGGATGTGCCCAGGTTGGGATCCCAGGGGGAATTGGGGGTCGTTAACAGTGTATTAACTGTGTAATCAATGCAGAATGCTCAGGATGAGGTGTCTAAGTAATTAAAGAATGGATTGGGGTTTATTGCAGGATTTGAGACATGTTGAGATATGGAAAACTCTGGTAGGGTTTTGGGGCTAAACAAGGGGAGTTATGAGAGAAATGGGTGAAGGTTTGGGGATGGGCTCTGGGCGGCGGTGACCCTGCTGGAGTGTGGGGGGGTCCCTGCCACCCGGGGGGTCCCTGCGCCTCCTCTGCCGCACCTCTGGGTTTGATTTCGAAAAATTTGCAATGCTGTGGATCCGCCAGAGACCCGGGCAGGGGCTGGAATGGGTGGCGGGGATCAGCAGAAGAAGTGGAAGCATCTTTTACACGGACTCGGTCAAGGGCCGGTTCACATTGCCGAGTGACAACGGGCAGAGCTCGCTGACGCTGACCATGAACAACCTCAAGGACGAGGATTCCGGATGCAATTTCTGTGCCAAAAGGAGTGGTGATACTTGTTGTGCAGCTGCTGCTGCTCCTGATCAAACTGATGCAATCACTGGGTCCCTGTCTGCATCCCCGTTCCCAGACCCTTCCCCAAATCCCAACCCCTGACCCCATTCCTGTCCCTCTGTCCCAGCCCTGCTCTGGCTCTGCCCCAAATGTCCCCTCTGGGCCACACTCAGTGCCCTCGTTCCTCAAATGTCACCGAAATGTCAGGATTTGGCCCAAAGTTAAGATCAGGGATCTTAAGAATTCAAATTTGGCTTAAAATTCCTGATCTGAGGCCAATGGCGCAGATTTGGGTCGGTGGCTGTGACTTTGTGTCCACAGGGGAGATTTGGGGTGAAACTGGACAAGTCTGGGGGCAGTGGTTGGGATTGGAGGGACGAGGCTGAGCTCAGGGTGAAACCCGCCCGGATTTGGGGCCAGGAGCTGAGATTTGGGGCCAAGAGCTGAGATTTGGGGCCAGGAGCTAAGATTTGGGGCCAGGAGCTAAGATTTGGGGCCAGAGCAGGGCAGGGTTGGGACACGGGGACAGGAGTGGGGTCAGGGGCTGGGGTTCTGGGGAAGAGTCTGGGGAACGGGGACGGGAGGGGACACAGGGATGGGGCCGAAAGGTCAAACATCAGCAGCATAAGGAGCAGCACCAGCACCAGTGTGTTTGGCACAGAAATAGGATCCAGAATCCTCGTCCTTGAGGTTGTTCATGGTCAGCGTCACCGAGCTCTGCCCGTTGTCCCTGGAGATCCTGAACCGACCCTTGAACGACGGCGCGTACCCGGTAGCTGATACTCGCAACCTTCTCCAGCGCCTGCCCGGGTCTCTGGCGGATCCAGTTCATGTTGTAGCTTCCAAAACTGAACCCGGACCCTCGGCAGAGGAGGCAGAGGGACCCCCCGGGGGGCTGGAGGTCCCCCCCGCACTCCAGCAGCGTCACAGCCGCCTGGAGCCCTGCGGGACAAAGGGGAGATGGGGATGAGGCGATGCAAAACTGAGGCAGAACTGCCCAATTAATTAATGGGTGGATTGGGGCTAATTGCAGTGTTGAAGGCACTTCTCCATACAGGAAACCTCTGTTAGATATTTAAAGCCAGAAAAAGGGATTTTGGGGCAAAAGCGGTGAAGGTTTGGGCATGTGGGAATGGCCGTGACCCTGCTGGAGTGCTGGGGGGACCTCCAGCCCCCCGGGGGGTCCCTGCGCTTCCTCTGCCGAGGGTCCGGGTTCGATTTTGGCAGTTTTGACATGTGCTGTATGCGCCAGAGACCCGGGCATGCGCTGGAATGGGTGGCATGGAACACCAGCAATGGTGTCTACACCGGCTGCGCGCCATCGGTCAAGGGCCGGGTCACGATCTCCAAGGACAACGGGCAGAGCTCGGTGACGCTGACCATGAACAACCTCAAGGATGAGGATTCCGGATCCTATTTCTGTGCCAAACATGCTGATAATGGTTGTTGCAGTCCTGGTGCTTATAGTGAAGGTGACAGTGGTGGATCCAGCCCCCTCTCAGTGTCTCCCCCTGTCCCCAAACCGAGACCCTTCCCCCAAACCTCACCCATTGACTCAGCCCTTGACCCTTTGTCCCCTTCTGCACCAATGGTCAGCACTGACCCCAAACCCTCCCCTGATCCTGCCCCAAAACTCAACGATTGGCCCCAAACCTTCACCCCTGGGCTCCAGTTCAGGCCTCCTCCAATCAGGGCACGGGAAATGGGGGAGATTTGGGTTAAATGGGTAAAAGTGGGGGAAAGTCGAGAGTTGGGGCAAAGATGGTGGACACTGGGGGAGAAGGTCAAGAATGGCGTCAAGGGTTGGGATTTGGTGCAGGATTTGGGGATTTTGGGACATTTGGGGAGCCAGGGATGGGGGTTTGGGGCCACCACCAGCAACGTCACCACGTCCAGAGCTCCCAGAGAGGATTCCAGCCCAGCCCCAATGAGCAGCCCCAGACACCGCGGCCGCTGAGGGAGCAGTGAAGCCCCAGGTGGGAGCGAGGGAGGGAGGGAGGGAGGAGCAGACGCCGCGATTTAAGGGCTCCGCAGCCTCCCCCCACTTCCTCCCCGGCAGCTGCCGGGGCCCAGCCGGGGCAGGAAAGGAAAGAGAAAGTTCCTGGTTTTGGTCATGGTGAACATCTGTGTTTGGCAGAGGGCAGCTCAGCCTCTGGGCGCTGCGGCAGAGCGCCGGCTGCACAAAAAGCTTTGTGTGCAAAGGGCCCTGGAGCGATCCCTGTGCCACACTGGGACAGAGGGGAAGGGCCAGACTGGGGAGGAATGGGCAAAATTGGGGGGAAACCAAAAATTGCGGCAACAGGGGAGGAGTTTGGAGGAAATGGTGAAGATTTGATAAAAAGGGCAGGAACCAGGGGGAAGGGTCAGAGAATTCTGTGATACCTGGGAACACAGAAGAAAGGACTCGGGACCACAACCACCATCAACACCATAACCAGAACCACCACCACCACAACTACTACTGTAACATTTGGCACAGAAATAGGTGGCAGAATCCTTGTCCTTGAGGTTGTTCATGGTCAGCGTCACCGAACTCTGCCCGTTGTCCCTGGAGATCCTGAACCGGACCTTGACCGACGGCGCGTAGTCGGTGTAACCTCCAGTGTAGTAGATCCTTGCGACGTATTGCAACCCCTGCCCGGGTCTCTGGCGGATCCAGAACATGTCAACACTCCCGAAATCAAACCCGGACCCTCGGCAGAGGAGGCACAGGGAACCCCTGGGGGGCTGGAGGTCCCACCCGCACTCCAGCAGGGTCATGGCCGCCCAGAGCCCTGCGGGACAAAGGGGAGATGGGGATGAAGGAAAACATCACCCAAATTCTTGCATGCAGGTCCTGATGTTGCCCAAAAATTGGGACCCTTGGACCTCACCATCTTCCTCCTGCAACTCCGGCCAGTCATCCCGGGTGGATCCCACACCCTTTTTCTGGAATGGCAGCGCCAACTTTGACCGCACAGCCAATCCATCCCCTCATCCCCATCTCCCCTTTGTCCCGCAGGGCTCCGGGCGGCCGTGACCCTGCTGGAGTGCGGGGGGGAACTCCAGCCTCCTAGGGGGTCCCTGCACCTCTTCTGCCGAGGGTCCGGGTTCAGTTTCAGCAATTTTGCCATGAACTGGTTGCGCCAGAGACACGGGCAGGGGCTGGAATTCGTGGCGTACATAAACATTGGTGGAGCCACTTACTACGCGCCATCGGTCAAGGGCTGGTTCACGATCTCCCAGGACAACGGGCAGAGCTCGGTGACGCTGACCATGAACAACCTCAAGGTCAAGGACTCCGGATCCTATTTCTGTGCCAGGGCTGCTGATGGTTATAGTGCTGCTGCTAATAGTGACGCTGCCCAGGATGGTCTCAAGTTCTGTCCTTTCATCCCACTCCCATCATTGAGTCCCCAGAGTTCTGCTTTTCATCCCAAACCTCACCCATTGACCCAGCCCTTGACCCTTTTTCTCCATTTGCCACAATGGTCAGCACTGACCCCAAACCCTCCCCTGCTCCTGCCCCAAAACTCAACCATTGGCCCCAAACCTTCACCCCTGGGCTCCAGTTCAGGCCTGCTCCAACCAGGTCTTGGGAGCTGGGGGAGATTTGGGTGGAATGGGAAAAACTGGGGGAAATTCGGGGGTTGGGGCAGCAGGGGTGGAGTTTGGGGTAAAATGGCCGAGATTTGATGAAAAGGGCTGAGATTTGGTGGAGAGATCAGAGGACTATGGGATATTTGGAAACAAAGTGGAGGGATTTGGGACCAAGATCAGAACCAGCAATAAATGCCACACCAACAGTACCATCACTATTGGCACAACCACCATCAACACATTTGGCACAGAAATAGGATCCGGAATCCTCGTCCTTGAGGTTGTTCATGGTCAGCGTCACCGAGTTCTGCCCGTTGTCCCTGGAGATCCTGAACCGGCCCTTGACTGATGGCGTGAGGGCGATGCTGCCACCTTTGTCCATGATCCCTGCCACGAATTCCAGCCCCTGCCCGGGTCTCTGACGCCTCCAGAACATGGAGAACCCCCCAGAATCGAACCCGGACCCTCGGCAGAGGAGGCGCAGGGACCCCCCGGGGGGCTGGAGGTCCCCCCCGCACTCCAGCAGGGTCACGGCCGCCCGGAGCCCTGCGGGACAAAGGGGAGATGGGCACCAGGCCCAGCTCTGCCATTCTCATTCCCAGCACAGAGTCAGACACCATTCCTTCTCTCTCTCTGTCTCTCTCTCTCTCTCTCCCTCTCTCTCTGTCTCTCTCTTTCTGTCACAGGATTTTTCCTGGAGCAGCACAGAGAGAAGATGAAGATGAAACAATTCCCATCTCTCATCGCTGCTCCTGCTGTTTCTGCGCGTGTGGAATGTGTCCGGGGGATTGTTCCCCTCCAGGGATTCATCATTTGGGTTCTGCTGCAGATTGTTTTGTTTCCTTGGCCAATGGGCTCCACGCCGTGACCTGGCTCTGTCAGACTGTCACGGGGATTCTTTAAGATTTTTTCGTGTCTTTTGTACGGAATTATTTTAGTATCTCTTTAGTATAGATGTAATATAGCATTAATTAGATATAATATAGTATTAATGAGATATAGCATTATTGAGGTATTATGTAGAATTAATGAGATATTCTATAGCATTAAAGAGATGTAATATAGTATTAATGGGATAAAATATAGAATTAATGAGATATAATATAGTATTTATGAGATATAATATAGCATTAACGAGATGCAATATACCATTAAGGAGATGTAATATAGTAATTAAAAGATGTAATATAGTATTAATGATATATAATATATTATTAATGAGATGTAGAATAGTAATAATGAGATATAATATTTTATTATTGTAATAAAATATAATATTAATGTAATATAGTAGAGATTTAATAGAGCAATTGTTCAGCATTCTGACTCATGGAGTCAGATTCCGTGACCCTGCTGCAGTCTGAGGGGCACCTCCAGCCCCCCGGGGGGTCCCTGCGCCTCCTCTGCCGAGGGTCCGGGTCCAGTTTTGGGAATTTAGGGATGCAGTGGGTCCGCCAGAGAGCCAGGCAGGTGACAGAGTGGCTCGGGGGGATTAAGAGTGATGGTTCCAGCACCGGCTACGCACCCTCAGTCAAGGGCTGGTTCAGGATGTCCAGAGACAACGGGCAGAGCTCGGTGACGCTGACCATGAACAACCTCAAGGACAAGGATTCTGCCACCTATTTCTGTGCCAAATCTGGTAATGTTTGGTACCATGCTGCTGATGTTGCTTATGGTTTTGAACCTGCCGCCCCATGGCTGTGTCCCCCCCAGTCCCGGCTCCCCAGACCCTGCCCCCAAATCCCAGCGCTCGTCCCCGCTCTCGGTGACTGAATTCGTGTCCCCAGCCCCGGGTCCAGTGCTGAACTTTGGGGCAGAGTTTGGGGGAAGATCAATGGCCAAGGGTTGGGGTTTGGGGCCGGAGAGGGGAAAGGGAAATGGAGAAATTGTCACGGGCTGGGTCAGGGGCTGGGAGCTGGGGAAGGGTCTGGGGAACGGGGACAGGGGTGGACACAGCCATGGCGAGGCATCAATTCCATAGGCATCATTAACAGCACCATTATCTTCAGCACCCCTGGCACAGAAATAGATGGCAGAATCCTCGTCCTTGAGGTTGTTCATGGTCAGCATCACCGAGCTCTGCCCGTTGTCCCTGGAGATCGTGAACCGGCAGTTGACCGATGGACTGTAGTAGGTGTAAGCACCACTGCTCCAGATCCCCGCAAAATATTCCAGCCCCTGCCCGGGTCTCTGGCAGATCCAGATCATGGGGTAACTCCTGAAATCGAACCCGGATCCACGGCAGAGGAGGCG